ACGTCAACGACTAGGCGCAACTCCCAAGGGGTCTTGGGGAGAGATTCGTCACGATTCGTGATCCAAGCATCGCTCCGCTTTTTCCGGTTAGGAGCACGTACTTACGCTCCTTAAGGCGTACCACAAAAGTAGGAATTCCTTACGCTCCTTGAAAATCAAAAGCTACAAGAAAGCGCTCCTTAACCAAGGAGCGTAAGGAATTCCTACTTCTAAGGTACGCCTTAATGAACAGTTCCTAAGTTAGAGACCCATTAAATGCGAAAAAGAAGAAATCAAAATGAAAATAGACAGATCCCTCATTGAGGGAGACTTCTAGGGTCTTCGCAAAGCATCAGGGTGTGATTGGACTTCGAATGCGAGTTGTAAACATTCGTCTTCTACCGTAATTCGTAATTCATCTTCTACCGTCGATGGCAGTGTTGGGTTGTTGAAGAACGGCGATTGGCCGGATCAGAACTCACATTCGTGAGCTTCGCTGATCCCAAGCATCCGTCATACAATGTCGTGCTCGCAAATCGTGGTCGTTCAGATTTTTCAAACTGAATTCTCCCACTATGAGCAAAGCCTACCGTATGCTGATAGGTGATGACCTCGTCAGTTCCGTCAGCTATTTCGAGAAGTTCAATCCAGCCAATAGGGCTCTCTTGGCAAGGGTGATCAACCGCTTCTGCTTTCGACCTCTCGGACAGGCTGGCCGTCTCATGGCCATTCGCCCAATCACTCTTCGAATAGGTCCCAGTGGTTACCGCTGAGCAGATTGATGAAGCTGTCTCCGCTGGTAGGAAGGCTTTCGAAGCATTCTCCAAAATGTCGAAGGTGCGTGACTCACTGCTCCTACTGCTCAAGGCTTGAACTTCGAGCTAGATCGGAGGCTTGTCAGGATGCAAGGAACTCTATTCTACTGGCGTGCAGCGAGGCGATGACGGCTAGTTCTACTGAACTGGCAGAACTACTGTGTGAAGAGCAAGGGAAGCCGCTCTCCAGTGCGACCAAAGAGGTCGAGTGGGCAATTAATAGCTTTAAGAAGGCAGCTAATGTACGTTCATTGATCGCCGGAATCTCCCAGCGCATTGAACTTGCGAACAGTCTCATGCTCAATGTCAGATGCCTATCCCAGTTAAGATCATTCACGAGGACGACACTGGCAGAGTAGAAGTTCGCTACTGCCCCATCGGCGTCGTGGCAGCTATAGTTCCCTGGAACTTTCCCTTGGCAATCGCTGCCTGTAGGATCTCCTAGGAGAACTATGACTTACAGCAGGAGACCATACTTCGATGCTAGGTCACGCAGCGATCTCCCTGGCGTTTGGTAATGCTGTTATTATAAAGCCGTCTCCCCACACGCCGCTGACGGCTCTACGTCTGGGGGAGCTCTTCATGGGCATCGTACCTCCTGGTCTCATCCAAGTATTCACTGGACCCGACACTCCGGTGAGGGTCCATTCTGGCCGAGGATGATCGCTTATCGTGTTGCTAACTTTAGGGAGATTTTAATGTTGGTAGCTATCTAGTTCAACACCCCGGTATCCGCAAAGTCTCAT